CTCCAGACCAAGAACGGATACCGCCGCAAGGACATCCCGGACTTGCCCAACAAGCAACTGTTCAACAACTTTTCCGACAAACTCATTCAGGAGCGTATTGAGAAGTTAAATCAGTTCCTCGAAGCTGCAACCAACACAGACTACCTGCAATGGGGCATCCGCGTCGACCAAGACACATGCGTGTACAAGCGCCGCACGCGCAGCTCGTCTAGCGCAGACCGCGAGTCCATGGCGGGACCCCCACGTGAATCCATGGCCGTAACGATGTATGACGACGACAGCTCCCGGGAGTCGATGGCGAGCACGAGCCGCGAATCGTTCTCACTCCGACAGTCCTTCTCCCGCACCTTTGGCGGCAAGAAGCATCATTGATGACCTGTTTAACAAACTTAATGAATGTGGATGTAGCCCCGTCGTCCTTGTCCATGGTCGCATGAGCAGAAGCTGGAAGGATACCGTCGAGCACGACAAAACGAGTCGAATGCAGTGTCGAATTACAGGGTTCAAATGTCTGAGACTGTTGGCGGAAGCGAAACGGGCAGGAGCCCCTCGGTCGGGTCTCGCTTCAGGAACTGGTGGTCGAGCTCCGTGTACTGTGGCGGGGGTACTTTGTCTGCGTCGTCGATCTTTGGGCCTTTTTTCTCCCGAACTGACTCGTTGTCGGTGTCTCGCTTGGATAAAGATGCGAATCGCCCAATCTTGCCCGCGCCCATGGACGTCAAAAACTTGTTCATGATGGCGATCTGCATGCAACGCCTGTCAACCAGTCCGGACGGCGGGGACCACAGCTCTCTACCTTTTTGCTTGCTTTCGACAGCGCAATCTTGGGGTCGCCCGAGATGTATCGCTCCGCCATGCTTTGCTACATGGACACGTCATGAACGACTGGAATGGAACGTATGTCGAGGTGGGCATCGATACCCGGTTTAGGCCTTGCTTTCGATGGCCACCACCCGTGTCCGTGCCATCGTGTGTGTGCGAGTTGAAGTCAAACTTCTTCAAGTGCTGGACAACGCACGCGACAGATCGACGCTTCCCCTTTTCGCCGCCACCGTAAAACACCATGAGCTTGGTCAAAACTTGGTCAATCAATGCGAACGCTTCCTCGATCGGTTTTTCCATCTCGACGGCAAAGGTTTCTTCGAGAGGAAGGTGGCTCACGAGGGTGCCTGCATCGGGTTGGGACATCGTGTCGACTTTAATCTTTTGCAGCTTGGTTCGAATCTCCCGTGTAATCTGGCTCGAGATTTCTACGACATGACCTTGACAACACGGACTCGCTCATGGCGCCGCCGCACCTGGATAATGCGTTCGAATTCGATCCATTCCGTTGCGACTGAGGACGTACAAGATCCCAAACGACTTGGCCCGGACACTCGCACACCGTTTCGAGCTGAGCAGCATGGCAAGCTCGCCGAAGAACGCGCCTTCCGTCAGCACCTAAGCATCATGACGACGTGAGGACAGTTCTAATGCCTACACTCGACCAACTTTGCACGTGATTTCTTTGGATGTGCCGGCGCCAATGACGACTTCGACGGTTCCCTTGACCAAAAAGTACATGTGCCGACCGTACTCGCCCTGACAGGGGTTAGTGCCGATCGATGGCGACGGCATACCTCGTAAAAGACGTATTCGCCTGGCGTACAGCACTCTTGGTACAAGATACCCATGAGGTACGAAATGCACGCGTCGTCTTGGTGGGAAAAGAACGAGATCTTGCTCACGACATCTCGGTTTAAGTGCAGGACGAGCTGCGTGCGCAAGTCGTCCGACAGGTCTTCCAGGAACGCGCTCTCGTTCGACACTTCCTTGTGGTTCATGTAAAAGTCAAAATACCGCCGAATGCGCACGCACAGCGGCTTGGGCAACTTGCGTTCTTTCATGTAGTCCTACGCCACGGAAAAATGACATGTTGGTGCAGTGATCCTGTCATGCACCTTGACGCGATCCATCTTTTCCTTGGCTAACGTCGTCTTGGTCTGCATCTGGTCGACGAGGCTGCTCATGGACCCGATGATGTACCCAAACACGGACGCCCCCACCAACATGTAGAACGTCACGTAGACGACCTCAACATGGGTCGTCGGCAAAATGTCGCCGTACCCGACCGTCGCCATGGTCGTGAATGCAAAGTATAGCGACGTAATGTATTTTTCCCCGAGCGAGCTGTTGCCGAGATTTTGTTGCTGGATCCAGCTTGCACCATCATACAAGTCTTCGGACGTGACCCCGACAAAGAAGAATGCGCAGCTTGACATGTGGGCAATCATGCACACCTACAGCACGGATATGGCATGTTGTGGCGAGAGGACCGGACCTGCAGGAACAGCATCAACACGCGCGACGCGGCCGGACTGAGGTCGATCACGTCTTCGACGCTGGTAAAGTTTTTGTTAAACTTGAGAAGGCGAGCGAGCTTGAGCAATCGCGTCAGGCGCGCGAAGCGGATAAGTTTCAAGTTCTGGTACGTTGCGAGGGATGCCGGGTCGTCCGTGAGAACGTACTTGTTGACAAAGTACCCGATGGGAAAGGTCGAGATAAAGTCGACCCAGAACCAAAGGCGCAGGTACTGCGCCGCAATGCGGCGCGGCGCGGTCACGACGTTGCCCGACTCGTCGAACACGGCCGTTCGAAACGTGAGCAGGATGTCGAGGGCGAAGAAGACGTCAACAACCACGTCAAAGTCCTGCCACAATCGCGGTCACAACCCAACGGGATCCGCGCACGACGTACGGCTTTGATGAGGTCGGCGGTCGTTTGAACTTCGATGGCGACATTGCTTTGAAACGCGACTTGGATTGGGATGCTGATCACGTTGTACAGAATGAGGAGCCCGAGCCACACGTCCCACTGGAGCTTCTTGACGTTGTTCGGGTCAATGATTTGGCAGAGGCGGGCAGTGACGGACTTGGACGTCAAATCTTGATCCTTGATGCCTACACACGGCGATCACGAGTGTCCGTCGTACGGCAGCGCACCATCCACGATCACTTTTTTCGCCAGCGATGAGTTGAACAGCGACACCTTGGGCGCAATGTTGAAGTCGATGTTCTTCAAAATGTCCATCGGGAGCTGCTCGATCGCGGCCAGTTTGCCATTGTAGCACACCTTGATGTGTGGGCACAAGTCTTCGAATTTGGCCATTTTGTACTCGTCGTCTTTGATCTTTTCGTAGTACTACGCAAACGAGAGCATGGGCAACCACCGCGCAGCTCGAGTTGGTACCGAGTATCGCTCCATCGTCATATTGAGCGTTTCTTGGTACAAGTGCTTGCGCTGCTCGTAAAACTCGATCAGGATTCCCTCCGTCTCAGGGTATTCCTCGACGAGCACGTCAAAATCTTCCTTGAGGAGCGAGTACATATCGCAATTCGTGATGCACTGGAATGTGTTTTCACGCAGCGCAAAGTACAAGAGGGAGGCTTCGCCAAAGTACGCGTTTTCACTCATGACTTCGAGCAGGACCTTCTTCCCGTTTAAGCTGCTGTTGTACATGGCGACGACGCCGGAATTCAAAAAGTACATTTCCCGGCCCACCGTGTGCTCTTTGGCAATAATGGAGTCGGCGAGCAAGAAGAGCGGCTTGATACATATTGCCATGTCCATCACAAACTGCGGATTGATCAAGGCGAACGCTGGAATTCTAGGAGACAACCACGCACGTCACAGACCGAGACGGACGGCGCGACGGACGTACTGAAAAATATCTTTGCACGTTTCATGCACGATCTCGTTGCGGAGGCTCAGCGAAATCTCACCGAGGATAGACGACTCGTCAAAGAGCGATGCCCGGGATAAATAGTGCTCAAAGTACCTGGGGGTGCTCTATGAGCCCGTGGGCATGCAGTCTGGTCGTACCGTCGAAGTTTGAAGCGCAGGTCCATGGGCAAGTTGCGCGTGCGGATGTAGTCCTTGACCAGCATCATCTTCATTTGGTACATCGCGGCGCGCTTGTCCATGCTCTCGAGGAGCGTCGAGATGTTTCCAATGACAAAACCAAACACAGATGCACCGATGATCATGGCAAAGATCGCGTACAGCTTTTCAAACGGCGTGACGATGACGACGTCGCCAAACCCAACACCCGTCAACGTCGTGATGACCCAGTACAAACTGTACAAGTACCGCACCGAGTCGCTCTCGCCGCGAAGACACCGCTTCGGATCGTCCGCCGTGCACATCCATGAGTCTGGCATGTTGTCGTACGAATCGTGGCTTGGTGGGTCGTTGGGCTGACCAAGGAGATGAAAGAAGCATGCGAGCAAGTGCGACACAAACAGGACGAGCAGGATCAGTCGGACGAGGCGGACGACGCCCGCGTTGAGGCCAAAGGTTTCTTCGGCCTACGCACATCCTCCATACATGACCAGGACGACGACGCGGAAACCAACGGAGTGGCGGCGTTGTACCTTGGCGAAGAACGTTTTGAGCTTGGCGAGGCGCGCGAGTTTGACAATCCGCGTGACGCGCAAGATGCGAAAGAGTTGAATCGACGCGTACGTATGCGACACATTGGCTTGGGGGTCGAACAGCGTGATGACGCTTTCGATGGGGACGGTCGAGACCAAGTCGAGGACAAACCACGTGCGCATGTACTTTTTCGCAATCTGGACGTGATTCATCACGAGCTCGTCGCGCTCGTCATGGTATCCGACGAGAAAGTTGCGGACAATGTCGATGCCAAAGCATACGTCGACGAACGTGCTGATGACGGCCCAGTCGGATTGGCTCTGAAATCTACAACACCCTCTAAGAGACAACGCAGCAGCGGGCGACGGTCGTACCCGGGGAAGCACACCACGAGCGGCACCGTCACGCCGCTGTACGCGATCAAGACGCCCATGTAAATATCCCACTTGACGCTGTTGGACTCTTTCGGGTCGATCACATACGTCTTGGCGTCCTGCGCTTTGTGCTTGACCTGACGATACGATTTGGTAAATTTCGAGTCCTTGATCGTTTTCAAGCTCTGGCGGGGCTTCCCAGCGATGCTCGACTTGCGACCCGGCGCCAAGTTGTGGTCAAAGTACTCTTTGTCGTACGCTTGCATGTTGACAACGCGATGCTTGCTCGCAGACCGGTGCATGCCTGGAATCGCCACCTTGGCCTTCTTCGTGCTCGCAGCGGTCGGGCCGCCGTTTGGCGTGACCGCGTTCCCTCGAGGATTTCTCGTTTTGGACGCAATGCCATTCATCGCCCACCCAGTTGGACGTCTCGGCCCGGTTTGGGCCGTGGAAGGTCGCTGGAATCACACGACCAGGCACTGCGATGTCTTGTAACTGTTGTAACGCATGCTGGAGTTACAACGGGAAATTTTCATGAAGCAGCGGCGGAATGCACCGACTTGGCGGCATTACGCGTCGAGAGTTCGCATCCAGGAAGATGCCAACGCCTTTGAAGGGGGGAGGGGCTGGTGGTCACCTGTCGACGCCTCTTTGGCACTTCTTCCGCCGCCCACAGAACTTGGGAGGGCATGAATCCAAAACGAAACGACGATGTCGTCCATGCCTCGGGCAATCTCGCCCAACAAATGCATGCCAAGTCATAAAGTGGTTTTCACAACGCATGCCAAGCTGCTTATTACGTAAGCGGTGAGGAGTGCCATCTTTCGTGTCTGTCTTTATTCGAAGAGCGCGATGAGTAGCATGAGGACAACACCCGTCGCCATCGCAAGCAGTTGCAGCAACGACTGAAGAAGGGACGAGTCTTCGAGCAATTCGGGAAAGACACTCGTGCACGCAATGTACACGAACCCGCCGGCCGTGAATGGAGTGATCCACGCCGCCGTCTTTGCTTCAATCAAGAGCCCTACGGCTGTGCCGACCTGGAAGAGTACAATCGCCGTCAGTAAAAACCGAATTCTTCCGACTGCGTACCATGGCGCCAAGGGCTGTGTACACTTGAGTCCACATGGCGTCCGAACGCGTGAACCCGGATTGAATGAGGATCGCAAAGTCGCCGATTTCGTGCGGCACTTCATGGAGAAGCATGGCCAACGTTGTTTGCCACCCGCTGCTACGTCCATGGACAAACGTGGCGCCAATGGCCAACCCATCGGTGAAGTTGTGGGAGAAATCTGCCGCCAAGTTCAAATACGCCGCGGCGGCAATTGCCGCGGCAGGAGGCGCTGCGCCATTGTCGCTTTTTTCGGATTTCTTGGCTTGCTTTGGTTCAGGAGCGATGCCATGCGAGTGGCCGTGACCGTCGCTTCCAGTTTGCGCGCGAACAAACTTTTCCAGCATCAAAAATGTCATGAGCCCAACTAACATCCACAAATACGGCGCCAGGTCCGCTACCGAATGGCTGTGTCCTGCATCTCCGTGATCGTGGCTGTGGTCATGATCGTGCTGACCGCTAGGGGTGGAGTGTGGCAGCAGATGCAGCAGCGCGTCGCCGAGAAGTCCACCGGCCGCAAACGCGAGAAAAATGCGAAGCAGTGGCTTTTGCGTCGTCAACGACGTCCGGCCAAGGGGAATGAAGAACAGCAGAATAACGGGCGCAATGCCCACTAATGCCGTCGCAGACAAAGCCTCGATCCACAATGACACGTCGAAACGAGTTGCGTCGGAGGGCGGGTGGCTGTCTTGAAGCAACCTCGCGGCATCCGTGTGGCCGTGCGAATGGTCGTGCGATGAATGGTCATGGGAGTGGGAGTGAGCATGTTGATCCTTGTGGTCATGGTCGTGAGCATGGCTATGCTTGTGGGGGTGATCATCATCTTTGTGGGTTTGATCGTGTTTATGGTGATGAGTCGAAGGGGATACCAAAGTCTCGACTGGGCCCGGGATTGGACGGCGTAAGTCTTGGTGGCTATGGGAGTGACTGTGGTCATCGCCGTCAAGTTGATGGTGGTGGACATGGTGGCCATCATGCGAGGACTTGTCCAAGGGATGAGTATACCCCACGTCGTCCATTGCGATTTCGACCACTGATTCCTTGTTTGGTTTGTTAGCTAAGCTGTCAAGTCCGTGGCGTTGGGTGTGGGTGTCGTGGTGATGATCGTGATGATCATGGTGGGCGTGGTGGTGCTCCTCGTGGGCATGGACATGGCTGTGGTCATGGCCATGGTCATGCACGTAACTATGGTCGTGCTCAGCAACACCTGCCGTAAACATCAGGGCCACAGCCGCGGCAAGCAGCATCACGCTAGGTCGGATCATCCTTCCCCGAAATCTGGACTTCAGCCACTATATCGTGGCTCGTGATTGGCTGAAAAAGCGTACTTAGAAGAGTCGCACTTTACCAATCAAATGAAGCCCTGCCATTCAAGAACGCACAGCGCGCCACGACGATGGACACGGTGTCCGAGTCTGGGCATTCTGAAGCGCCTGTGGCCGTTGAAGCAGCGCCGCAGCCTGCGCTTCCATTCTCCGAAGAGAATTTGTCCATCTGCCTGGAGGTAAATATGTGATCTTGTTCCTTGGTTCCCTGGATGAGGAATCTCGACGCAGTTCGTCGTAGGTACTCGGTACAATCGCCAAGGACCTCAACGTTGTGGAGCTTCCAGCGATGCGCACCTTCCGCAAGATGTTGGCTCCTGTTTCCGATTACATGGAGAGTCGCAAATTTAAAGGAAAAGGCCGCAAAAAGTACTTGGAAGATCAAGAGTTGCGTCGGGAGAAGGAAGCACGAAACATAAAGCGCAAAATGAACGACCACAAATACATCAACAGTGCCACGTTGCGTCGTGCGCGTGTGGAGAAGCTCAACGAACTGCTCGAGCAAGGCAAGGGCGAAGAAGAGAACATGCTGCCTTTGATAGCTGACGGCGCCGTGGACGAAGCGAATACTCAGACGATGCTTCTCGAGAATGGCAAGCCTGCCGAAGTCCCCAAGGTCGAATTGAACAAGCAGCGATCGTGCTACACGTGCAAAGTTCGCTACGAGGCGCTGCATCATTTTTACGACCAACTCTGCCCCAGTAATCCAAACACCCTCCTTGCGTTAAGACATTCACGGGAGCGCGGTAGGCTGTGCCGAAGTCAACTACTCCAAGCGAATGCAGTCAGCAGATTTGCATGGAAAGGTGGCGCTAGTGACCGGCGCCCGCGTCAAGATTGGGTACAGCGATATCGCATGTGTGCCTTTGAACTGACCTATTCGTGCAGATACCAAACTACGCTCAAGCTTCTTTTGGCGGGGGCCACTGTGATTGCCACGAGTCGATTCCCACATGACACGGCCGAGCGCTACGCCGCCCATCCTGACTATGCAACGTTCAAGGACCGTCTACATGTATTTGGCATTGACTTCCGGTACGATAAATGCTCCAGCAATATCGCTCATGTGTGGGTCAGGGACCTCGTGCACTTGGAGCACTTTATGGATTTTGTGCTGCAGACGTATCCCCGTCTCGATGTGGTCATCCACAACGCGTGCCAGACCATCCGTCGACCGACGTCGTACTACGCCCACATGATGCCGAAGGAGTCGACGCCATTCCTGAACCTCCCGGCCAACATCCAGGCAACGCTCCAGCAACAGCAAGCGTTCACAGAAGCCTTACATCGTGACACAAATGCATTGCTGTCGGACGGGTCCACCAAACTCGCCACCGGCAATTCGAACCACCACGCCATTCCGAGCGCGTTGAAGTCCCAGGTTCCAATGCTGCTAGAAGATCACGACATGACAGGATCGTCGCTGTTTCCTCAAGGTTTGCCCATGACTTTGATGAATGCATGGTTGGCGGCTCAAGGGTTGTTGACTGGTGTAGGACGCACGGACGTGAACGGCCAACAGCTCGATTTGCGGACGACCAATTCGTGGGTGCTCAAGATGGGCCAAGTGTCGACACCGGAAGTGGCCGAAGTGTTTGCTATCAATACTCTGGCGCCGTTCATTATGAACAGCCGACTGCGACCGCTTTTGGAGAAGACGGAAGCCAAGGCCAAGTACATCATCAACGTGAGTGCGATGGAGGGCAAGTTCTATCGGTACAAAACCCCGAACCACCCCCACACCAACAGTACGTGCATTGAAGACCAAGCGAGTAAATACTCATCGTCGGTGCGTTGTGCTGTAGTGGCCAAGGCCGCCCTCAACATGATGACGCGGACGTGCGCGGAAGAATTGAGCAAGTATGGCATTTACATGAATTCGGTCGACACGGGGTACGTTCGGTGGCGAGTGGATGGGAATGCTCATGCATGTAATTGTTTCATGGGGGTGCCGCAGGTGGATTAACGATGAAAATCCGCTCGAAAAGGCGCACAAATACGCAGCCACGGCCAACTTTCAAACCCCCATCGACGAAATCGACGCCGGTACAGCATGACCTGATCAGAGTGTTCAGGACTGACAGCGACTGCATTAGCGGCCCGCATCCTCGACCCCGTCTTTGTCGGGTACAACACGGGCAAGAGTGACTTTGGTCTGTTTTTCAAAGACTACCATGAAACCGAGTGGTAAACAAATTACTGCGTGCACTCCACTTCCTACGATGCCAATCTATACACGTGAATTGCTGGGTTTGTGTTGGGTTGGATGCACACCAGTGTACAATTCATCGTCGCGGCAGCGCCAACGATCGAACTGGCATGCTGTTCAGAGTTCGCGATCTTGTGTTAGTTTCTTTCTCGCTGAGAACGCAGCTACTCAGGTTGAGACACATATCAATGCAGCAAGTTCGGACGAGCTCACAAAGGTGGGTGCCTGTCACGGCTGGTCGAAGATGGATACACAGCGAACTGAAACAAGTCACTAAGGATGCATCAGGCTCAGCGATCCGTGCTTGGACTCGGCCAGAGGAGAACGCCCTTGAGTCGTTGTCCACAAACGAAAGAGATGAGCGAATCAAGGGGTGAATCACCGCTTCGATCAAGTCCATATGAGCAATGCCAGCAGCGGTCGCCTGGAGGCCGCACAAGGATCATGCTGGATTGCTTTGGGGGCACAACGCAGGGTGTGCGATGCATCCTGACCGCACTTGGATATTTCCAGTTGCTGAAGTGGCACAAACGTTATTTGTAGCTGGCCCTATGAAAGAGATCCGTGTATCCGGCATCCGGAAACAATTCAATTTCAAATTTCGTCGCGCCATCATCTCATGGGATTCTGGCAAGTCGAGTACGAGGAGAATGGATGGAGCGAGTACGTGAGCCAAGTGCTTTCGGGGCGATACGGAGATACTGCGTATGGTTACGAAGTCAGTGACGAGGACAAGCGCCAAGTTCAGCACCTGTTGGCAATGCTTGATGACGATGCAAGTGCAGACGATTCATACGTCTACCACACTCCAACTAGCGACTTGTCATTCGAGTACAATACTCCAGGTTTTTTGTATGCAACTGAGTTAGTTCTCTTGACACCAGTACGTAGGTCCACAGAAGAAGAAGAAGCGTCCTGGAAGCAACAGCAAGATGAACCACACGAGCTTTTTCCCCGACTTTGACTCAAAGGAGCTCGAGGTCGACGATGACGGTGGTGGAACGGACAGAGTCGCATCGAGTTTGTGCCAGCGACTTGCTGATATGTCTCCCATTACGAACCCAGTTGCGGAAACAATCGCACAGAAGCTGGATTTCGATGCAGTTCGAACGCTTAGTTTCGATGGTCCCGCAGAGCAATCGACGAATTGTGCGGACGACGGCAATGGGATAATTGTTGCAGAAGACAATTCCTCTGGCGTATTCGTCACGGCGCACAATGCCCAATCGACGCTGAAACAGGCTGTGCCGGACGTCGGTATAGATGACATTTTCATGGACGAGCAAATCGAGCAATTCGAAGAGCTCGAAGTACAGCCTGTCGACGATCTGTCACACGGAGTGGAATGGACCATGTTGCTGGATCATTTCGACATCATGGATAACTCAGACAAGGAATCGTCGCCTGGAAATGACGTCCCGACACAGCGAAGGCAATTTGACGACGATGTCGACCTGCCAACAAGTGGATCTCCCCCACGTCCCAAACCGATACGACGGCGTCTTCGAGTTCCCGACAGTGACAGTAACCACTCTGATTCCAGCGAGGCGAGTTTCGGTGCCGGCGACGCTTGTAACACTCCGATCGAAGCAGACACCTTGCCCAAGCGCCTGCAGCGTTTCCACCCGTTGTCCGCATGCAGTGACATTTCAAGCTTTGACGATTTACACACCTTGTCAGTTCCAGGTCAGACGGATCATAGTTGCCGTTCACGATTTGCGGCTTGTTGATCGCACAGTGTAGATACACCGCGCTGTTCCACCGTGGAATCCACCGCTGCGCTTGACCTTGCTCGAATGAGTGCCGTGACACCGCTGACTCTTCTTGGGCACCAACAACACGCTGTGGAATGGATGCAGATGCGCGAGAGGCCGTCGGCAAAACCATTTCGAGGAGGAATCTTGGCCGACGAAATGGGTCTGGGGAAATCTGTGTGTTGTCTGGCGCTTATAGCAAAAAAGGCCGGGATGGTCAATTACGGCCGAAAAAAGAAGCGCCCAACGCTTATCATCACTCCTCTGAGCTTAGTCCATCAGTGGGAGCAAGAGATCAAGGAGAAAACCACGCTCAGTGTCGGTGTGTACCATGGCGCAAATCGAAAAAGGTTTCTAACCAGCCACGACTTATACGCATTCGACATTATCCTGACTACCTACGATACGTTGCGACTGAAAGAAGCCACGTACACCCGCCCTACCATGACGGTAGAGTCTGCAAGTAAAGTCTGTCTCTATCCTGACTAAGTATCATAGACGGTACATTTGTCGTCTGCTAAGCCGTGGATTCAAACCAAGCGGCGCCGTGACGGGAAGCCGTTGGCGTCAAAACTCCACAAAGTTTACTGGGAACGCGTGGTTTTGGACGAAGCTCATTTGATCTCGAACTCGATAACCGCAAGGTTTGTCCTCGCGATTCTCGATAGCTCAATAAGCTTTGCGTTTTAGGGCGCAAGCTGCTTGCCAATTGTCTGCCTGTGCGCGGTGGTGCGTCACTGGGACACCGATCCAAAATCGACTCGACGACGTTTACACGCTCTTCCGATTCTTGGGCCTCCCTGCTGTCGAAAGCGAAGAACATCTGAATGAACTGTTGAATCAGTGCATGCTGCGTCGACTCAAAGATACCCTTCCAATTCCATTGCCGGCTAAGACGGAGCACTTGATCAAATTAGACTTTCAAACAGACATCGAAAAGGCATGGTATGCTAATGTTCGACAGTCGACCCGAGAGCAAGTGCATCAACATATGCAAGCCCGCAGACCAGGTCGCCACATTTTTGAGCTTTTGCTGAGGTTACGTCAAGTGTGCAATTCGCCGCGGCTCCTCCCGCGCCACCAATCGCTGCCGATTGTTCACATGTCTACGAAGATGCAAGTCTTGTTTGACCACCTCCAACGAGCCAAGCATGAGAACGCCCCAGTTTTGGTCATTTCCCAATGGACAAGCTTCTTGGACTTGATTGAAGAACAGTTGGACGCTACGAATCCGTCGATTCGTTGCATTCGCTTGGATGGACACATGTCTGCTGCGGTAGGATCGATGATATATACTCATTAACTCACAGTTGAGGATTCGCTGTCTGTAGAACCGAAACAAAGCAGTTCAGCTCTTTCAGAGCTCGAATGTTGTGGACGTTATGCTGATGAGCCTGCGGTGTGGTGCATTGGGTCTCAATCTGACGAATGCGCGGAGGGTGTTCTTAATGGAGCCGTGCTGGAACCCGAGTATGGAAGCGCAGGCCGTCGATCGGACTCATCGAATCGGACAAGCTGATCCGGTCCACGTATTTCGGTTCCTCATGCAGGTACAAAACGATCTTGCATCGGAATTGCGCGTCACGTCAAGTCTTAATCAGAACACAATCGAGGACAAGATTTACGAACTCCAACAACAAAAACGGGACTTGGCGTCGAACGTGCTGAATTCGACCCGTAAAAAGCCTCTCGCGGACAGACGAACAATGCACGAATGGGTGGCCCTCGTTGCATAACTTGTACCAGAAGCAGTGACACATTTCTGTGTCCCAGCAGCAAGCTGCTGTCCTAGAAAACACTACCCTGAGGCATCCACGATGTGACGGTTCGAAGCAATATTACCTCAAGGGGTGTGGACTCTCAAGGCCTGCATGCAGCCGACACATTCGAGAGATGAGCTACGGAATGAATGATTTACTCTTGACGAGAAATTGAATTTTACAATTTTCCTGCAGTAACTTCGCCTCCTTCCACGCACCTGCGCTTTCCAACGCTAACTCGTGAATAGGAAGCTCAAAAACGTTTTCACAAGGCCAAGTCGAAGCGATGAAACTCAAGACAAAACCTACGCGGCAACGCGCAGTATTCAGCCTGGAAGGAGCGCGACGATACTAAACTATCTTGCGGCGGTGACGTCTCTGCGTGGTTTCATTCTATCGTAGTTGCGGTGCAATCACAGAGAATGCGACGTGGCGGGACATTGGTGAAGTTTACAATACATTGAGAGGGGAGAGACCCAACTAGAAAGAGCTGGGACAACACAGAGGCCACGCAGCGGCATGTTCGATTTAGACGACGCGGCGCTTGTACACGATTGTCTCGGCATCGACGCGGATGCCCCATTCGAGATCGTCAGTGTGGGAGATGTAGTCCAAGAATCGGTTGAGTTTGCGTATTCTCTGGTCAATCAGATTCTTGTCGTGGTGGACGGGCTCGCTGGGATCGCTGAGTCGCGGACTGCCGGTCAAATTCAGCGACTTTTCCAGCTCATGGAACGTCCCGTAGCGCCGCCAAATCGAGTACGTACAGAGGCCGTGGATGTTGGAGAGGCATTCCAGCTGGGCGTTGTACTTGATCGAGCACTGGCCCTGCGCGTTTTTCCCACTCAAACGATACCCCTTCACTGCCACCGAGATGAGCGACACCTGGTGGTCTTCGGGGGGCGGTGCTTGCATGAGCTGGAAGTGGCTCAAGTTGTGAACGGAGGTGTCCACCGACGGTGGAGCGGGGGCTTTGGTAGCGCGTTTGTACACGCACGAATCCTTGTCAATGCGGATGCCCCACTCCAACGTTGGTTCTGTTGTCGCTGTTTCGAGGAAACGATTGAGTTGGGCCACGCGCTGACTGATCAAGGCGCCCGTGAGCTGGCTCGGGAGCAGCGGCGACGGAGGCAGGGCATTGTGCAACTCGAGCGAATTCGCCAAGTCGCGGAATGTAGAGTACCGGCGCCACACTTGCAGGGTGCCATGGGACGCTGTCTCGATTACGACACAGTATTGTACGCACTCGCGTTCGTCGGTGGTACCGGCATGCACGGTTTGAATGCGAAAGTCGACAATCGATGCTTTCAGGAGGGACATTTCCGCCTGAGTTGTCGGGTCGTCATGGGAAACGACGGACGAGTCGTGGTTTACTACGGACGACGACGTTCGGTGCGGAGACACGTCGGGGGTCTTGTTGATCTTATACACGACCGTGTCGGCGTCGACGCGAATGCCCCATTCCAACGACGACGCCAAAGCTTGGCGCAGGAATGCATTGATTTGATCCATCGTCGGGGCTTCATACGACGGGTAGTCAAACGGAGGCAGCCCTTGGTGAAGCTGCTGAATCGTGAGGGTCGTGGAGAGGTTGAGAAATGTTTTGGACTTGTGCCACACCGACAGCTGGCCGCGGCGGTCCGTCCAAATGATGAGCTTGAATTCGGTTCGAGAAACGCCGTCCTTAGACGTCGTCACACGGACATCAACGACTTCGGCATCCAAAATCGAGATCAACACCGCGTTCTCGTGATCGGCGCCGCCCATCCGCCCAACGACTTGACCAAATGGCGAGCAGTTCAACAGTTCTGTCATCCAACGTGGCTGGGCTTTCTGCATCATTCATTTATTCACTACAATTCATCTAATACTGCCTGGGTGGCTGCTCACTTGGACCTGGCAAAGCTCTACTGCCATCAAACGGTTCGTGTCCTGTCTCGACATCTCATGAGGCGCCGTGTGCTGGCGACGCCTCCCTACGGCGAAGCGCTCGTTCGTTCAAGTGTATGTCGCCAGCTCCCAGAGATCTTTTTCCACACTCACGCTGTGACACGTGTCCAAGGGCGGAAGAAAAGCCAGTGAGTCGTGACGGGTGTGTCGTTTTCGCAAACGTGGTTCGGTTGCGAGTCTCGCGCCACTGCTTGGAAGGTTGGACGATGCTGGGGTCGATGCCTCTGCCCCTCCATCCGCGTGCGTTTGGACCGTCCTGCCTGGACCTACCTGGTCGCGTGTGCATTTTATGTGGACTACACTGTAGATTTCGCCTCGGTGATGGATTTCCGACGACCGAGATGTTGAAGGCCACCATCGTGCAGAACCTTTCGAGCGCCGACGCGATTGAATCTTGTCCAGAGTGTCAGCGGACGTCAGCTACGTCCCACGGATTGATGACCTCGGGTGATAGCACAGTCGCATGACCAGAACGACGCATGGAATCGCTTGTCTCTCGAATCGGCGCACGACCCATCCAAGACCACCGCCGCCCCACTACCTCCCCTTTCCTACGCTGCAAGCGTGCATGGTACAACGCATGTAACTATGGCCTCGCCGTTACGCGTTCATTTATCATTTATTTTAAAGAAACAACGCGGCGACAGTGACGTTGTCAAAGACATGCACGACGTTGTTGCCGACGCCCGCCACGCTGCTGCTTTTCTCGTCGACCTTGCGCCATCTCATCCAGAATTGGACGTGAACCTGACTGGCAGACTCGGCTTTGTCGCTCAGAATGTAGCATTACCGTTAGGGCTTCCAGTCGAGCTCCAATCTCCGCTATAGCGCGGCGAACATGCACGAAGGACAGACAAGTCCGCAGCGGACGCCACCGTTGACGCGAGGCTACCCCTCATGTCATACATGCACGTAGCCACGTGGTTGAATTCGAGCGGGGCTCTGGGCATGGTGCACCACGTTGTTGTCGATTCGAATTCCCCATGGGAGGTGTACGGTGCCGTGGCTGCAGCCTCCAGGAATTCGTTCAAGAGCTGTCTGCGCATTTCAACGAGAGGTCTGGAATACTTGTTCACGTCGAACATCATCGGCAAAGTAGGGACGTCTTCGCTGCAGCTTTCGTGTTGCCGCTGCATTTTCGTCTTCATGCGGCGGAACAGTTCTGTACCGATGCCACGTGATTAGCGTGCCGTCATGGCGCGTATCGACCTGGAGCTCGTACTCAACAAGAATGCGGCCGTCCCGAAAGGAGAGACGGTCGGCGATGACCTTGGCCGACAAGAGCGTCACTTTCTGCCGCACACGGTGGCTCTGCAGCGCTTGCACTGGTCGTCGTCGCGGGGTACGTCGCCGTCCGTGTGTGTTTCGCTTGTGTAAAATTCGATGGCCATGCGTCGTATTCGCCTTGAACGGCCGTGAGAGACGTTGCTGCCACACGACGAACGTATTGTAAAGGTTGAATAGCATGACGATCTTGGCGGTGTTGAAACTCGACTGTGTCTGCACCAACTCTCCACTCGAATGTCGGCAACATGGCGTGCACGACGAACGCATGCACTTGGGCAACGCTTCCGTCATCCGTCGATGGATATTCAAGCGCGACCTTCATCGACACAGAGCTTGGTCCATCGGTGGAGGAAAAACGCGGCCTTTTGCCACACCGACATGCATCCCCGACGGTCTGTCTGCAGGACCAAGTTGAACTCGGACGAGGCAGTCCTGGACCGCCATGGCTCGGACTTCGACAAGCAAGACGACGTCGGCTCTGTCGTGGCCACTCCTTGAGTCTGTTGAACGCACGTGCGATTGTGCTGTGCCCACCAAGCAGTTTGTGTTTTGGAACGATGTGAAGCATTTTAGCAGCATCCCACCGAAACGAACGCCATCCAGTGGGGTTCTCGCCCACATGATTGGCATCCGTTCCGGCCATGGATCGGAGACTTCCGTCATTTTCGCGAGTGGGGGATCTGTTCCGTGTGCTCGATCGCGTTCTCTGTCTGAAACGGAGTTCGTGAACGAGTGGTTGAGTTGTTTGCACGGCGCCATGGCAGAAACACTCCGCCCCCCTCGTTGACGATACTACACTGCCTTGATTAAAACGATACGTGTCCACCTAGAGTTTTGTTTTACGACTTGCGACGGCCAAAGATCGATTCACGCAACGACACAGACTGTCGAGACGAGTCGCGCGGAGACTGCATATCCGATGACGACGCGACGGTGGACACCATGCTGTCTCGCACGTCTGTGCCACGCACCGACATGGAGTCTCGTTCAGCGCCAGACGAGCTCCGCGTGCGGCGCTTGTACACGCATGTGTCCTGGTCGACGCGGATGCCCCACTGCAGGTAGTCTGTGTTGGTCGCCGCTTCAAGGAACTGGTTCAGCTTGTCGATACGTTCTTGGATCGATCTGTCCGATAGCAACGACCCAAACAGTTGCTTGTTGGGCAAGTCCGGGATGTCCTTGCGGCGGTATCCGTTCTTGGTCTGGAGCGTCGTTGCCAGGTTTCGAAACGTGCTGTATCGATGCCACACGAACAGCGTGCCGCGGTTGTTGGTTTCGATCTGGAGCTTGTACTCGACAAACTGCCGGCCCTCGCGGAACGTCAACCGACTGTCGACGACTTTGGCCGACACCAACGACACTTCCTGCGCCCGCACCAACTTGCTCTGCAACGTAAGGACTTGGTGCTTGAGTCGTTCGTTTTCACGCAACAGATCGGCATCGGCGTGTTCGGCGACATACGCCGCCATCTTGGCCCGCAGCGCTTCGTTTTCGGCTTGGATGACTCGGTTGTGCGTGAGTGCCGCCATGGCAGCCTTCTGGGCTTCCACAGCTGCGGCTTCGGCTTCAGCGACACGGGCGGCCGCGGACGCTAGAATGCTCTGCGATCCTGCAGACATGCGTTCTCCGTCGCTGCCTTCGGAGCTGGTGTCGACTGGTTCATCTTCATCTGCTTGGTTTGATTGGAGACGTGAAGCTTCGGCTTGGTGCAGGGCCCGAACCTTTTCTTCTGCTTCTGACCTTGCGGCCGCTTCCGCTGCTGCTTTCGCATCTGCACGGGCCTTGGCTTCGGCGGTGCGCTTGAGTTCTAACTTGCGCTGGCGTTCCTTGGCCAACGCAACACGGAACTTGCGGCGGGCCACCCATCCGCGAACGCGGGTCTGCAACAAGACCGTACCTCGCTTCAAAGTGCGGAAGCGGCACTGGGATGAGTGCATGCGGAACACAGACTGCGCCAAGATGGCCGCTGCTTTCTTGGCCAAAAACTGCTTTCGCTTAGCAAACCCGCGCATGTGTGCTTGGATGATCGTGGCCTGGGTCCGCAAGACAACGGCGCGCTGGTCTTCCAAATGCTGCAACAGTCCCGAGCTAAAGTACACTTTGGACTTGCCGATGGCAAACTTGGCGTTTTGCGTCGAGTCGGACGTGACGCCCAGCAGCTTCTCCAAGAGGCCCATGACCATCACGACCGGGTCGCCATTGCGGAGCTTGGCGGGACAAATGACGTCGAAGCGACGGGCAAATTCGACCAGCGACAGTCGGTTCGGGAACGCGGCGCGACTGATCCGGATCGCGGCAATGACCCCCGCGCATCGCAGCTGGTCCACCACCATTTGTCGGTCAAACTCGGTGGCGCTCTTGTTCGCGTTCGGCTTGATGCACCGGACGTACTGCGTCGTGGTCTTGGCGATTTGTTCCATCAGTTCGCCCAGTTGTTTCTTGAACGAGTTGGCGATCGTGGCCCCAACCAAGAACCCGCCGCCCTGTTTACGGGACTTGGGGGCGGCCTTCCCGCCATGGTGCTTGTGGTGCTTCTTCGTATCCTTTGGGGCGACAGCCAGATCTGGGAACACGTCCCGAATGAACGACGACTCGCTCGACGCGAGCAGGTCCAACAAGTCGACCGGCAACGTGTCCTTGTTCTTTTCGAGAAACTTGGCGCCGTCGTACGTGACTTCGCCCGCGTAGTGCAAGATCTTGAACTGCATCGGGTTCGTCCGGACCTTTTCAAAGTTCTTGTGGTCGGCTGCCGCCGCAATCACCTTGCTCACAAACATTTGGTCCGTGCCTTTGGCGAGGACGCCCGTTTCCTTTAACAAGTCGATCACGCCGGACCGGCCTTCGATCAAGTCCAGGATCGGCTGGTTGTCCTCGAACGACACTAGCTCCAACGGAATCCCCTCCGCAATGTACTCGGTCTGGACCGTCTTGAAGATGTCGCTGTTGAACTTTTGCTGGAGCTTCTCGTTCGCGTAGTTGATGCAGAGCTGCTCAAACCCGTTGTGATCAAACGACTCGAACCCGAAAATATCGAGCAGCCCAATGTGGTGCTTTACGTTTCG